CCATGTTCAAATGGATATTTTCAACACAAGAATATATTGTATCCTCAATAAATAAGCATGACATGCTGTGATAAGAAAAATCTCTATCTATGAAAGAGATAAAATTGATTAACAATACTTATCTTATATCTAAAAAAACAAACTTTCAGATTCAAACCGTTCTTCTACAGAGGATAGATAGCCTGTAGGATAAAGATCTACTTCTGAAAGCTTTCCTTCAAAAATATATATGTATTGTTAAACCTATTTAATTGCTATTCTTCAAAGTTTTGAACAATATCAAGTGTAATACGAAATATTAAATACCTATAGTACAATATAATGCGGCTTATGATTGTAAAACGACTTTGACAAGTTTTACCGCAAATGTTTCTTTTGAACCGAAAAACGAAATTAACGACTCTCCTTAGGGATATAATCGGTATTTATCCTTAAAAACGGTATTTACCTTACAACCCTGAACACTCGGATTTTCCTAGAAAATCTCTTAAAGATTTCTTGAAAAAGACATGGCCCACCTGTGCTGTGTGAGCAGAAGAGCTTAAATTGACTTGTTCCATATGTAAATACCTGTTTTCTTTCCTCTTTTTGCTCTCCACTTCTCCCATCCATATTTCCAAATTTTTTTTTCTTTCTTATATATATATTTTTATTTCTTCTTATAATCTGTATATATTTACCATGTGTATATAATCTTTCTCCATTTTTTATTTCCCACTTTCAATGGTTTCTCCGTCTTGTAATCTCAAGGAGAATCCTCTGTAAGACCTGTGTGTCTTAATAAAGGCTTTTGTGTGTGTGTGTGTGTATTTATCCTTAAAATAAATTACGATTTTTGGTTCAAAAGAAAGATTTTCGGTAAAACTTGTCAAATGTTGTTTTACATTAGATATCTATTTAAGACGAAAAAAAAAAAAATCTGTTAGTATTAAAATCTCTCAAAGTAATATCCTCTCTCTATTTTAAACAGTAGCAATGTACAAGGTTATACACACTTATTTACAAATTTATGCAAAAAAAAAATACAAAATATATAATGAAATATATTAATCGTTTTTTAAAAATTATTATAGCTTATTAGCAGTTTTTTGTATTGTGTTTTGTGCTTTTAGAAATTCTGTCTAATGTTTAAATAACCCATAAATTTTTCTGATAAATCGAATATAATTGAATATAATTATTGAATGTCATTATATCATCAACAATTTACTATGAGTATTTAAACATCATTCCTGAAACCTCATATTTAACGCGAATTATTTCTAAAAATCGAGCTGTCTTTATAATAAAGATTCAACTTTGAACAATACTTGTCTCTAACCAGTATCTCCTCCAATTAAAAATAGTTCAAGGCAAGGAGTAGCAATTTTGCATATTGTCATCAGAGGTCCAATTGTTGCAGTGGTGGTGCTTCCTAAAAAACGAAAGCACAGATATATTTTTAAACAATTAGTAATAAATGAGTGCATGTGCAAAATTTTATTAACATATTTCATCCCTATACCTTTGTAATGTGCGTTTTGCAAGGAAACTTTTTGGATACTCTTGAATACCTGTCGAAACCTGGTGTTGGCCAACCTTAGACAGAAATATTGATTTTTAAAAGGTGAAAAATCAAATCAAGAAATGTATAAGAGATTGTCTGACATGCTGTCGCTACAATCGAGTCACTCAACATCAATTGATGAGTGATCTGCCCAAAGAACGGTTGACCCCTGGAAAACCATTTATCCCCCGTTCTTTTCCAATTATATCATCTTGAATATGTTCTTTAGTCGTAAAGGGAAAAAAACTCCGTGGATGTATCCAGGATTACTGGGATGTTCCCATCTCGTTCACTAAAATCTCTTCTTTCTACCCAACAACAGCCGCTGAGAGACACCGGATCTGGAATCATGGTCCCTGGGAAGTAGATTAAGGGAAGTCCTGCCTGAAGGGGACAATTTAAAAATTCAAAGGGGCAAGTCGTCCGAAAAATTGTTCCCTCTCTCCCCTCGCCCCTCCGACTTCAGGGTCCATTCTTTTGTCCCCACCGCTCTTCTAGGTCCCTCGTGCACATTCCCCAATCGTCCAGCTAGCTGTCCCCGGGTAATAGACCTTAGTCTGCCTTGTAATTACACCGACTTACTGATATAATGGAGGATTTACAAGATTACAAGATAATGGTATACTGTGAAATAGCTCTACAGAATAATTCATTAGGATATATGATGTTCTGTCACATAACAATGTGTTAAATTGACATTTAATTATAATAATAATATATATAGTCACGACCGTCTTTCCTTATCGGCCTCTGTCACGGATGCGCGCGCACAGGGAGGTCACGTGCTCGCCGGCTCCCTCGAGCCGGATTTGAACCAGCGACCTAAGGATCACCGTTGTAACATCTACAGTCGGGTAAAACACGGGCGTTGCCCGGGTAATTCGGCTAGTGCGTTTATATACAGGAAAACGTAATTAAAACATAGCCTTAAACACGGATTTTTTGTAGCAAAAGTGGCCTTTCTCCCATTTGAAATCCTGAAGATAGAAGTTGCCTGGCCGGCATTCATATTTCTGTGAAAAATAGACAATTCGGCCAGTTTAGCAGTTTAGCCTTTTTGAAATGTATTTAAAAAAGTAAAGCAATGCATTTTGAGTTATAAAACTCCAGTACAAAATGTAGAGTTAGTGATAACGAATGAGTCATAACATCAGTTTGGTCAAATTCAACAGAAGCCAACCTGTTATATCAGGGTGTCGGGTTTTGGCCTTTAGGGACGGCTTCGATTTCATAACATCCTAGAAGAGGAGTTATGATTAAGGTTTTATTAAGTCCCCAAAGTAGTAAGGTTTCACTCTTTTTATTTGAAAAAAAAAAAAAAGATTATCCAAGGATTCTTCAGTTCCTTCTGATATATAATTAGAAGACCACAGGAGATATTATGATAACTTTTTATGAGATAAAATTCTAGGGTTTCTATAAAGATATAGCTCACTTACTCTTTTGAAGTTGAAAACGACTTCCAAATACGAATGAATAGAAGAATAATCTATGCATAAAATATTTTTTAAAAATCATAGTTCTTGCATTCTTGAGAGATAACGTTTTTTCCTTAATTGTGCGGCAAATGTATGATTAAAAATTGCAACTCTGTTTTTAAAAAATGTGACGAAAGACAATGAATATTGGTGATCGTCTGTTTTTACAAATGGTGCATATTCAAACATGGTAAATTTATCTTAACACAACACACAGAGTTTGGCAAAAAAATACTTAAAAAAAAAACCCGACGTATATATATATAGTTGTCATCAGAATAGGAATTTTTTCACGATGACATTACAGTAAGAGTTAAGAATTTGTCCAACTATTCCAGAATGTGACAAAAGACAATAAGTGCATATTCAAATATGGTTAATTTACCATAACACAGTTTGGCGAAAATATTTATAAAAACCGACATATAGGTTATAATTCTGATCAAAATAAGAATGTTTTCACGAAGACATTACAGTAAGAGTTACCTATTATCCGACTATTCCAGAATGTGACAAAAGACAATATGAATTTTATTGATCGTCTGTTTAAAAATGGTGCATATTCAAATATGGTTAATTTACCATAACACAGTTCTGCAAAAAAAAAAAATCGACATATAGGTTAAAATTTTGATCAAAACAAGAATTTTTTCACGATAACATTACAGTAAGGGTTACAAATCCGTGTCAAACTATTCCAGAATATGACAAAAGACAATATGAATTGTCATAATCGTCTGTTTACAAATGGTGCATATTCAAATATGGTAAAGTTCCCATAACACAGTCTGGCAAAAAAAATTATTAAAAAATCGACATATTCTGATCAAAATAAGAATGTCTTCACGATAACAGTAAGAGTTACGAATTCGTCTAACTATTCCAGAATGTGACAAAAAAACAATATGAATTGTCATGATCGTCTGTTTACAAATGGTGAATATTCAAATATGGTAAATCTCTTTTAACACAGTTTGGCAAAAATACCTAAAAACTGACATATAGACATTTTCATCAAAACAAGATTTTCTTTCACGATATCAATACAGTAAGGGTTACGAATTCGTCCAACTATTCCAGAAAGACAATATGATTCTTTTTAATCGTCTGTTTACAAACGATGCATATTCAAATATGGTAAATCTCCCTTAAAAGTTTGGAAAAAAATATTTAAAAATCGACATATAGGTTATAATTCTGATCAAAACAATAATGTTTTCACGATGACATTACAGTAAGAGTTACGAATTCGTGCAAAACTATTCAAGAATATTATTGATTTTCAGTTGTAAGGTAGATGAGAAATGGTCGGAAAATTGATGATTCCAATCAAAATGGTGTCGGAATCCATCATCAACTTAGGCGTCAAATGAATGGTCTCACCTCACCGACAATTTGACCGATTGAGGGGGAGGTCTGGATCCATCGATGTCGCATATTGGTTTGGCGACATCTGGTGTCCAGGTCAAATTTGTGGCCACGGGATTCCTATACTCCCACTTCTTCAGTTAACTCGTTATTTCTCTCTTATTGCTTCAAAATTGATCGGCTAAATACAATTTTGGAGTCCTTCTCTCTTCTTCTTCTTCCTCTTTTTTTTTTTTTTTTGTGATATAAATTACGAAACTTTTTTAGCGATTTTTTCGTTTAATAAAACAATTATCTACTATCTTTTTTTTACTGTGATGAAAAAATCTTGGGAAGGGAAGCCTTACTTCTAAATTGGGTAGATCTTTCAACGATTTTGATAATTTTATCGCTATCATATTTTAGAATCTATATTTGTATTGTGTAACAGAATTTTTTACTATAAGAAATTAAATTTATTTTAAAATAAAGCAATTTTCTACTGACCTTACTGCAATGATAAAATAATGGTAGTGCCTGGCTCATCAGTGGTGAACCCTTCATTTTTTCCGGTTTAAACTACCATCTACTTATATATTTGCCTTATTCTGTCTGTTTGTCTGTTTGAAGCTCACGGATGGGTTCAGTGGTAGAATGCTCGCCTGCCACGCGGGCGGCCCGGGTTCGATTCCCGGCCGATGCATTTTTTTTTTACAATTTTTAAAACTCATTTATATATTATACTAGACGAATGGCCCGGGCAACGCCCGGGTTTTACCCGAGTGCGTATATATTTTAAAAATGTTTTAATTAAAATACTATTCGTTACAATTATAAATTGGCGCCGTGGATATCTCTCTTGTGAAACGTCCCGCCCCAAACTGTGTGTGTCTTGAAAATATAAAAATAAAAATGTGAACGGAAAAATATGTCCAGGGTAGCTTAGTGGTCATGGCATCTGTCCGGTAAGCGGAAGGTCGTGGGTTCGATTCCCATCCCTTGACACTTTTTTTTATTTTATCCATTCTGACCAAAATCTATCCGTGAACTTCACACAGTGAACTTCACACAGACAGAATAAGGCAATTATATAAGTAGATAATCCAAATTGTGCCTTATCACACACTATTTTTTTATTTGGCCTTATTACCTTGTGTTTATAATCTATGACGTAATGCCGGCGGCGCGCGCCCGTTGGCTGCCGGCGAGCACGTGACCTCCCTGTGCGCGCGCATCCGTGACAGAACCGGCCCATGACGGTCGTGACTATATATAGGGATAATAATAATAATATAATAATAATAATAATTATTATTATTATCATTATTATTATTATCATCAGATAATGATAATGATCATAATGATGATGCGCGCGCATCCGTGATCCATTATATTGAATATTGATATCGTTGGGTCCGGATTCTCAGGTCCTTGGGGATATTGTTCTTGAGAAGGTTTTGTCTGGCTTGTTTGATATTCAAGGTGGGTTTATTTTTCCTTTTTTTCCACTTTTCGTCATTCGGGCTTTGGTATTTATTTCAACTAGCTCACTCGCTTAATTATTTTAAATATTTTAAGAATTGGATCTATTTTAAATATAATACTCTAAATATGCATCAATACTCTTTGTGAATCTGGTTTATTTTAACGCAATATATTTTAAAATTTACCAAAGAACTGAAAAAAAAAGTTATATTAAATTAGAGATATTATTTTTAACTTTGAGATTACATCTGAATGTATTTTTCTAAAATTACTGAAGAATTTCAAAATAAAAACCTGGAATTTATCATTTCCTCCTTTGAATTCCTAGCAATTAATAAAAATTTGTTTGTTGACTCCCAATTGGAGAACTTAGTTTAAATCATCAATCACCACCACACAAAAAAATATTTTTTGAAGTAAACCAGAGTTTATTTTGGAAAAAATTAGTTACACCATTATATAGGGGTCTCTAAATATATAACTTTTCCAGAGAAAATGAGGATGTTTTTTACAATTTCCTATTCATTATTTTAATACTTATATGTAAATAAATTATAGTTAATTTAGGACAAAGATGATTTTGAGTGTTAAAATTTTATTCAGGTTACTTAATCTTGATTCAAATGATTATCATGATGAGAGATAAAAATAGAGTAAATACACCATTTCGTTATTTTATACAAAATTTAACTAATTGGCATTTTTGGTTTGTATTACAACTGTTAGGATATTGTCTCTTGAGCAAGAAGGTAAAATAACTTTAAAATTATAAATTATTTATCGGCGATTTTTTAACAGATAATTTACATAAACAACACCATAAAATTTTCTTTTTTTTAAACAAATTATATCCTGGAATTTTGATAACATTTTCTTGATAACACACAACTTTTAGCTAACACAATCTTTATGTTGATAAGATAAATATGGTTTTTAAAGATATATTTTACTATTAAACCCCTATTTTTATATTTTGTTCATATCATTTGAATTGTATGTAAATATCAAACATGAAATAATTCCATTATAACAATAGAGATACATATATTCCTGGAAAAATGAGTTTCTCCAAAAAAATCTGAATATCATATAAACCCCATGAACCATTTCAACATAAAGATATTATTTGAATATATTTTTATTAGAATGGTTTGATATGTAAATACGAAATTTAAAACCTAATCAAATTCTCCATCAATTAAGCCAGAATGATGAAAAGTGGAAAAATAAACCCACCTTGAATATCTAACAAGCCAGACAAAACATTCTCAAAAACAATATCCCCAAGGATCTGAGAATCCTAATCCAAAGACATCAATATAAATTAATATAAATTATAATGGTAAATGAACAAACCATGTACATCCCCCACAGTATATTGTAAATATAATGATCTAATTTCTTTTTTTTTAGGCGGCACCTAATAAAGATATTTGGAACTTGGAGAATTTCTGCACAAACTAACCTCTGATCATCTCCCAGTACTACTTGTGCTACAGGATTTCAAAATCCCCTATTCAAGTACAAAAATCAAAATTACAAATGTATTACAAATACAATTTATATCAATTTATTATTAATTATATTTAATTATCAATTTACTAATTATATTATATTAATTACAAATACAAAATCAAAATGTATCTTAAACATAGAAAACAAAAACATTTTGATTAGAAAAAAAAAGATAGATTTATATAAAAGAGCTAAATATATTTAAAGAATTACAAATCAAAATTCAATATAATGTATTTACAATTATAAAAAAAAACCTGATTAGGCTCAGAAACTGACTTGATATTTCTCTAATAACCAATAAACAATTCCAAATTTCTATCGGCGAGGTATCTAGCTATGTTTAAACGAACGAAATCTGTTGTCTTTTTGAATTTCCTATCTTGGGTTATCATATTCCATTTTTGAAGCATCATTGCTCTCTTCATGTCTTCATTAAAACGTTCTTCAATCATTTCAGCATAATGTTCAGCATTTTCGATATACCACGACTTTTCTTCCTCCATTTGTTCCCGTATATAATTATCATTGTTGGACAAGAAACCAGCTCTTTGATTGAAGTCTTGTTCCAACAGATAGGATCTAAGAGTGATAGAACTGTTGCCTAACATATGCTGTTGCATTATTTCAACCTCTATTTGACACCTATTCCACCATATTGATGAATTCTCCAACAAATTGGGTTTATACGAAAAAGGATCTCGCAGGAGCAAATATTTTATCATCATATTAACTGCGGGCTCATAAACCTGAAGATTAGAGGAAACTCTTTCCAACTCTAGAAAATTATATATGTCTATATCACGTGATACTTCCAACATACATTTCAGAATAGGCAAAACTACATGTGTGTTCATGCAAGGGCCTGAAGGAGTAATAAAAAATATCTTTGCGTGAAATTGACAATTGATATCAATTTCAGCTCCAACTTCGATCAAAAATTTCACAATTTTTAGATTATTAAGGTAAACAGCATCTCCCAGTGATGTGTTGCCATATACATCCTGCTCGTTGACATTGGCACCTCCAATCACCAAAGCTCGCACAATGTCAATGGAGGAAAAGAAACAAATTGCGTTCATTAAAGCAGTTCGACCATCTTTGCTTCTGGTATTTACATCTACTCCAGAGTTGAGAAATTAGTTCAAAATATGCAGATTATCTCTCCTAGAAGAATAATGAAAAACAGAGTATCCAACACTATCTTCATGATTAATGTCAGCACCATTCATGACTAAATGATAAAAAAGATTTGTATATCCTTTAAGGACTGCCTCCATCAAAACAGATGTTCCATTATTGTTTTGAGCGTGGATATTTGAACCCTTTTCTATAAACAGTTTATGTAGTTCGCTATCATCACTATTTTGAAGTAGTTTTTGTAAAGGTATTTCCCCATTTAGGTTTCGAAAATGAAGATCTGCTCCAGCTTCAATCATCAAATAAATTATTTCTTTTAACTTTTTATTATTACTTTCCCAATCTTGATATTTACGAATATTTGGATTTAGTTTGAAAATTGCATAGTAAAAGGCATTCAATTTAGAATCATCTATCATATTAATATCTGCTCCTGCTTGTATTAAATATTTTGAAGCTTCTGCTTGTTCATTCAGAATTGAGAGAATTAAAGGTGTCTCTTTTTTATGGTTCTGAGCATTGATATCGGCCCCGACTTCAACCAGATAACGTGCTAGTTTTACATTGTTCTTTTTGGCAGCTCTATGTAATGGTGTCATTTTTCTTCTATCTTGTAGATTGACATTTGTTCCAGCTTCCAACAATTCTTTAACTCTTTCTAAATTTCCATTTTTAACTGCTGAATGTAAGTCCATTTTTCAATGTTTTGAAATTATAGTCTTAATTTTGTGAATATTATTTACCTTTTTATATATCACTGAAGAAAATAATACTCACTTTTTATGATTCCAAATGAATTCAGAGTAGTAATAATATATAGGTAATCCAGACTGATAAATTCAGAAATCTATGCTGAACTGTTTCTAAACAATATTATTATGATGATTAGAGCAATCAATTAATTTAAAACAGAGTATTCAAAAAGAATATTTCAAAATTAACATTTACAATATTTTTAATATTCCATATTTTAATTTATATATATATATATATATATATATAGTGTAAAAACTATATAATAAAAATATAACAGTGATTCTACATTTAAAACTTAAGGAGCAAACTGATAAGAATGATAAATCATATCAAGTAGATTTGGTTAGATTAGCAAGCTAAATCTAAATTAATTATAAAAATAAATAGTTGTATAGTTTTATAGTTAAGTATTCTATTAAAATTATCTTAATTAATTTGATTATTTAAATTCAAATTATAAAATTAGTAAATTGTTATTATTTAGTATAGATAGAGAGAAAAAAAAATCCTTTACTTCTAAAACATCATCTAGTTAATTATATATTTATAATTAATAACAATAAAATTTAACAACGTAACGTCTTTTGCATCGGCTTTTACACGTCATTTAGACATACTCTAATCCTATATATAGAATAATCGAAGTGAGAATATATATAATAGTTAGAAAAAAGAGAGAAAGACAGAACCATGTACTTTTGATCAAACTAATAATAAGAAGATAAAAAGTTTTGTAAAGAAGGTAGTTAAGATTGTTAGTATATATATATATATATTTTTATAATTTTATATTTTATCCTTTTTTTT